GCGGCATTTCTCGCGATGCCAAATAAGTCTTGCTCGTCACCCCCCAGGCTGAGCACACAGGATGTTTTTCAGCTGCTGGGCCCTCATGGCACTGGCTCATGTCTGGATGACACAGCACATTGGTCCCTTTGCTGTTGTTCCTTCAAATGGAGCGTGTTTCGGTGCCACCAACAGCTACTCAAGGTTTGATGTCCTTACTCATGGCCCACACCAGGAGCTGCAGCCCCTGTTCCAGACTGCTGGACTTTTTTTCGTCTGAGCTGTGAGACTTGGCCACAATCCTTCCCAACCACCCTTTGGACCAAAGACAAACGTGGGAGCTCAAAGTAATTTAAGCTACACCTTTGAATTGTGAAGGGAAACCCTTTTCGGTGGAGAAGTGAGTCCTCTTTTGGGGAGTCAAGAAAATAGTGACTTCTCCAAGTCAAGTGTGCGAGACCACAGTGACGTGATCCCTTGGAGATGGTCCGACACGCAACCGGCCTTTGAAAGAGCATCGAGAGCAATGGGATGCGGGAGTTAATGTCATGGGATTTGCACCCAGGGCTTCCTGGTCTTACAGAAGCAAGGATCTGCTACCCCACTGTCCATGAGGGAAGCAAGAAGGGTTGGCCAGCCATGGCACTGCCCCACAGGGAGGCAAATGGGGCAACACCAGGGCTGGGAAGGGACTATGGGGCCAACGGCCAAGTGTGGATAGCAGAGGGCAGTCCCTCAAGGAGGGCATGGCTCTTTGTGTTCACAGCCCGTTCCTGCAACTTCCATGGGAATGCACTTGAGGTCCTGTAGAACAAACATTTTTTCACCGACAAAGGGGGGAATTTAGGGCTGAAGAATGCTTGTTTCTTGGTTTGCCATCTAGGTAAAGTGGAAAGCTGTCAGAGAGGCTGATGTTTCGGGAATGTAGTAGCTCTCTTTGAACACGTTTTTTCCCAACACTAGACAGCCATCCTTTCTAACTTTTTTTTGTTTTGATAAAGACAGGAGCAACACATACATATATATACTTTTACACATATATTTTTTTTTCCCGTTTTATTTTTTTGACATAATGTCCGTAGTTCCTGCGCCAGGTGCAGGTCCAGGAGAAGATCCCCACAGACCCGGCGGGCAGACGGGCACAGTCGTGTCCCACCGCTTCTTGAGGGTGCTGAGGAATGCCCTTCAAGCTGCCTTCGCCGTAGTCACAGAATCACTGAGGTTGGAAAAGACCTCTAAGATTATGTAGTCCAACGGCCATGGCACAGAGTGGGATGGCTCCCCTGTGTAGGCATGCCACATGTGTGCGGTGGGGCTGTAAGACTCTTGAAAAATGGGTGAACTCCTCGAAGCCATTAGCTTGTGTAATAACCTGAAGAGTCTGTGTAAGGCTGTAGAGGTGTCATCTCAGGCTGGCGGGGTTCCAGTAGGAATATTTCACACTCGAATCCCTTTCCTTGACTGCGTGGAAAGGCGGCTCGTTTACTCTTGCGCTACTCGTCTTAGCATTGTAACACACGGACGGGGGTGGATATAGGAGCACCGCTTCGGAGGGGTGCGGTGTAAATGGATGCATGCCAAGCTCTCCCTCTGCACTGCAGGTCTTCACTGGGGGTTATGCCTTCCGACCCAGCAAAAAAAGACTCCACACATGATCTTTTAGACACTGAAATCCATCACAAGGTTGAGATTCTGGGAGAGATTTGTCCCCAGTGTGACTCAGGGAGGGGGAAGCAGGGAAGAAGGTGCTGCTTCCTTCTAGTTGGTGGCAACTGCTGGTTTGGCTAAAGGTGCACTGCAGGTCTTCACTGGGGGTTATGCCTTCCGACCCAGCAAAAAAAGACTCCACACATGATCTTTTAGACACTGAAATCCATCACAAGGTTGAGATTCTGGGAGAGATTTGTCCCCAGTGTGACTCAGGGAGGGGGAAGCAGGGAAGAAGGTGCTGCTTCCTTCTAGTTGGTGGCAACTGCTGGTTTGGCTAAAGGTGCCCCTAAAAAAGGTTGAGATTCTGGGAGAGATTTGTGCCCAGTGTGACTCAGGGAGGGGGAAACAGGGAAGAAGGTGCTGCTTCCTTCGAGTTGGTGGCAACTGCTGGTTTGGCTAGTGGTGCCCCTAATCCCCACCAGGGCGTCCTTAGGGCAACCAAGACTTTCCAAGAGTTTGGTACCAGTGATGCAGGCCATAATAGCATCATAGAATCATAGAAACTTTAAGATTGGAAAGGACTTTAAGATCATCATGTCCAACCTACAGCCCTACACCACCCTAACACTAAACCATCTCCTGAAGTGCCACATCCAACCATTTTTTAAACATGTCCAGGGATGTCAAGTCTACCACCTCCCTTGGCAACCCACTCCAATGCTTCACCACCCTTTTTGTGAAGAAGTTTTTGCTAATATCCAATCTAAACTTACCCTGGTGCAACTTGAACCCATTCCCTCTTGTCCTATCCCTATTCACCAGGGCAAAGAGGCCAACACTCAACTCACTACACAGCAGGTAGTTTTTAGAAGGTGATAAGGTCTCCCCTCAGCCTCCTCTTCTCCAGGCTGAACAGCCCCAGCTCCCTAAGCCTCTCTTCACAAGAATATGCCACGGCCTTTTAACCATCCCTGGCAGGCAGCTGCCCGAAGTGACCACTCCCTTGCCAAAACCTAGAGCTGGCCTGGCCAATGCATCTCCTCCTAATCAGCTCTGCCAGAACTGGATACCCTTTTCTAGCTCAGCTGCCTTCGATCCGCTCCTGCCAAAGTAATAAAGGTTGTGGGCTGCAGGAGGTGGTTCAGAGTACAGCCCTGAGACACGGCAGCAGCATCATCACCCTCGCCACAAGCCGGAGGGACCACCAGAAAATCAGGACCACGTTTGCAGGTGGCTCTGGAGCTCTGCGGCTGCCAAATCTCTGGCCATGCAAGTCAAAGGTATTAGGGACTGGGAATGGGAGGAGGAACAGTCTGTTGGGGGAATTTCCATCCCATCACCTTCCTCCTGGCAAGCACCGGGGAACAGACAGGCAAGGCAGACGGAGACAAGCCGGAGGGACCACCAGAAAATCAGGACCACGTTTGCAGGTGGCTCTGGAGCTCTGCGGCTGCCAAATCTCTGGCCATGCAAGTCAAAGGTATTAGGGACTGGGAATGGGAGGAGGAACAGTCTGTTGGGGGAATTTCCATCCCATCACCTTCCTCCTGGCAAGCACCGGGGAACAGACAGGCAAGGCAGACGGAGCTGGCAGCCGGCACCTACGGGGAAACCGCGATAGCGCTGGGGCTGCCAAAGTTTTGCTGCTCGAGGACTGCGTGCCCAACACACGCCTCCGCTTTATTTTGGAGGGGCTGGAGCCTGTGGAGAAGTCTCAGGCTGTGTTGGAGGATGTCAGCAGTGGTGGGACGAGCGCTCTGAGGACATGGGTGCGCTGTAGGGCTCTGAGGAAGGAATCAGCTTTGGCATGGATTTGCACGTCTCGGGTTATCTCTCTGAAGAATTGGGAATGGAATAAAAAACGCGGATGGAATAATAATTAAAAAAACCCAAAGCAAGACTGAGATATTCTGAGAGAGATATGGTGAGAGCTTGTAGAGTCAGGATATGTGCAGGTGTGACGGAGATGTCTATGTGGGACCAGGGTTGGCCATCTCGAGCCGGAGCTCCAGGCAGAGGTGAGGCAACACCTCTGCCTGCAGGAATGGCCCTTGCTACCACAGGGCTATTTCAAGCAGGGAAGAGCCTCATCTCTAAGCTCATCTCTGTGTTCCCTTGAATTTCAAGGACTCTTGCAAATACCAGAGCACAGAGATTATGTGAATACAAATTACATTAGCACGCCCAGCAACTTTGTCAGCAGTTTCTTATTAAAGCACTTGGTCCCCTCCGTAGTGGGCATTTCCATTCAACCTCCCCCTTCTTCACCGCTAACAGTCAAGCAGGCTCTCCGATTTATTCGAGCTCGTGTAAGAAGCAGCGAGAGGGTTGATTCCAATATTCCCCTTCTTGTCCCACCACGCACAAGCTGTTGCTACTTATTAAACATTTTAAAATCCCTGCTGCCAAAGTCCCCGGGAGACATTTATCTGCCATAGTCATAAACGACTTGCCAGCGTGCTACTCATAACTGCGTTTCCCAGCCAATAAATACAAGCTCCAGAATCAGGAAAAGCAAGGCTTGACTTGCTCTAATTTGCAGTGGTATGTCACTGGGATACTATAACTACTTTTAAATTCAAATCAGCTTCCTAAAAACCAACTGGTTTTATCAGATACAGCACAGTGGACTGTTAAACACATAGCCTCGTGTACTGAAACACTATACATTTAATGAAGTTATGCCATTAGCAAATGTACAACATGGGTGCATTAAATCCACCTATAGAACAGCTCTACGTACGAGAGAGAGGATTTATTTTAGCTTTCCTCAATAGAGCAGGAGTCCCTTTCTTGGCTTTTGCTAGGTTTTTTAACTAAAACCAGGATTTGCGCACACACAAAAAAACCCAAAAAGTATCTACTCTCATAATGAAAAAAGACTGATTTTTTTTCTTTTTTTTTATTCCAGTTCAGGAAGGAAGAGAATCATCTTGCAAGTTAATATAATCAGCTCCTTTGCCTCTATAATCTACTTCTGCTCAGCAGGAGCTCCCCCAAAAAACACTTTTATGTCCCAAAGTGAAACGTGAAAACTACTTGTAAGGTCTCTTTTGAGGCACATGATTCGGACGGTCGCTTTCGGAATATCGGAATCAGCGTCGTTTTCCATCTCCTTTCTTCCCGGGAAGAGCTCTCCAGCACGCCGCGGGCTCCCCGTGGGTTTTGGGTGGAAGGCTATTTGTCCCTGCCCCAAACCAGAAGGGTTAGGATGACACACGTTAGCACAGACACCCATTTCGCACTTCACACCTAAAGGACGCACGTTGACGACTCCCCACTTCAAATTCCTCACAAAAGGGGGAGGGAGGAGGGAGAGAAAAACCCAACAACAGGAAAAAAAAAAAAAAAGAAAAAAAAGACGAGACAGTAAATTTCACTGTGATCACACTAGGGCAAAATATACCTTCTGCTCGTTGGAAAAAATGTGTGAAGGCCAAATTAAAGAGGGGGAAAAAAAAAAGTATGTTGCATGAGTTACAGTGCAACCATATTGTTCCTTCTCTTTCTATTTTCCACCCCCCCTCCCCGCCTTGCTCGGTTTAGAAAAAGGATTGAGTACAACACAGTCAGGTAAGTGGCCACAAAAGAGTAGCTGTCTTTGGCAAGAAGTCACCGCACCGACCCTCTCTGTCACCTTCTGCCCATTTCGCTCTGTCTCATGAAGTGGATGTTGTTGGCGCTGTCTGAGAGTTCGGGGTACTGCTCCACTGAGATCACGAAATAACCGTCGTAGCCCTGTACCCGGCCCGTGTTTAGCACTTGTTGCTTCTCCCCTTCTGTCCACGAGCGAATCCCCTCCTCCCCATCCCGCAATCTCTGCTGTTCCCGGGACCAAGCTTGGGAGACGGCGCGCTGTCGGGCCAGCTCCAGGACGCGGTTCTTCTCCTCGTCCAAGGTGGTCCCGTAGCGGGTGTTTAGACACAACGCGCCATACTGGAGCTGGATGTCCGTGTAACGTCTAGTCCTTCCACCCAGTACTGTGTTGATCTGTGACACCGTCACGTTCACGCCGTTCTCCAGGGTCCTCCGCCCGCCGCTGAGGCCCAAGATGGACAGGTCGCCCTCCGACGGCCCTTGCTTAATGAAATAGTGCGTGTCCACCCCGTCGATGGTGAAGTGCAAGTTCTCCAGGTAATGGGCGTTGTTCAGGATGGCCGCGATCCTCCGCCCGTCCTCGTTGGCCACGCTGATGATGTCGGTGGCCACGCGCCCGTCTTTCATGGCGAATTTGACCCCTTTGCCGAAGATTGAGCCTCCGGCTGCAAAGTTCTTGTTCTTCTTGACGTGCCGGCACCCGGCGATGCTCGAGCTGTAGATCCGTTCGAAACGCTCCAGAGTGACGAAGGCCTTCAGCTGCTTCTGCACTTCGCATTGGACCCCCAAAATTGACTGAGCAGGGAGAGAAAGAAGAGAAAGACATGTTAGAAGAAGAAGCCTGATGACCCAAAGGCATTATCAGTGTGCTGGAGACCAGCAGGACAACCTGGAAACATCTAATGAGGAGCTACATTTTTTTTCCTCACCACCTTTTTTCCGATTTTTAATTATTTTAATGGAAGAGACATGTTGGCAGGTTATTCCCCCTGATGCTCATTGTTTCAATAAACAGAACTATATTTTATCCTGGAGACTGAAGGATGTAGAGATAGAAAGGGACCTTTTGTCTCAGTGGCCGGAGCGTCTAGTTTGGATGTGCAATTAATCTGTTCCTCAGTGTTCTTCCTCTGCACATAAGAAATTATTCATTTGGTGGCCATGATGCTTTACAAAATGCTTTCAGTTTTTCTGTGAAAAAGCGTGGAAGCGTTTGTCAAAGTTCCACTCATTTTAACTTCACTCTGTGCGCTCCTTGTGCCATCTTCGAAAGCCCTGCAGCCACAGCTATGATCCTCAAAAGTGGCCATAATCCCTCTATACCCTTTTTCAACCCGGCCAAAGCAGGTTGTTCAAACTTCAAGGTAGACCCTAAATCTAACTCCCATTTCATAGAAGTGTATCAGGGTTGGAAGGGACCTTAAAGATCATCCAGTTCCAACCCCCTGCCATGGGCAGGGACATCCCCCACTAGATCAGGCTGCCCAGAGCCCCATCCAGCCTGGCCTGAAAAACTCCCAGGGATGGGGCTGCCACCCCCTCTCTGGGCAAACTGTTCCCGGGGCTCCTCTGGGCACCCTGTGCCAGGGTCTCCCCACCCTCACGGGGAAGAACTTCTTCCTCACGTCCCATCTGAACCGACCCATCTCTGGCTTCAATCCATTCCCTCTAGTCCTGTCACTGCCCGACGTCCTAACAAGCCCCTCCCCAGCTTTCTTGTAGCCCCCTTGAGATCCTGGAAGCCACAATAAGGTCTCCTTGGAGCCTTCTTTTCTGCAGACTGAACAGCCCCAGCTCTCTCAGTCTGTCTGCACAGGAGAGCTGCTCCAGCCTCTGAGCATCCTCGTGGCCCTTCTCTGGACACACTCCAGTATGTCCTGCAAACCCTCTATGATGTGCCAGGCTCCCTGAGCTGAGGCCAGCCACACCTGATGCTCCAGTTTTGGCTCATCCTGAAGCAAAACTGCTGAGAGACAACAGCCTGAATCATTTGCAGTTCCGCATAATGCAAAGTCACTTTTGCTGTGAGCATACAATGGAGCGAGCATGCGGCAGTTCAGCAGCTCATCATTACTGCAAAATGTCTTTTGGAAAAGCTCTCATCAATTCACGGCAGCACAGGCTTCTCACAGGCCCCCTCTTCCCGAGCAATCATTTGCTCCAGTTTCACAAAAATGCAAGAGGATGCTATGGCAAAACTCTCCTGGCACTGTCAATGGCTTGGTTCAATGACATACAGGATCAAAAACAGGCTACAAAGATGAGTTTGCTGCACTCAAATTATTTTGAGGAAATTTAACGTCCACAAGGACATCAGCTTATACTGTCCACAAGCTAAAGGCTCCCATCCTTCCCTGGGTGAGAGAAGACCATTCAGATGACACAGGCGTTTCGGTGTCGACCTCTCAACTAAGACTTGTAACACGGTGAGGGAAAGGGAAATAAACTCATTTCCATGCTGGCTGTTTGCAGGGAAGGGTCTTGAAGCATTAAAGAAATAAAATAAAGGATTTAGCACTGCAGCTCACTCAGAGATTAGAAACTGTTTTGACCTATATAGGAGAAAATCATAGAGGAACAGAAGCGCACAAGTTCAAGAGCACATTTTTGGGTTGTAAAGCACTAAAATAGCCAGGATTGACTTTTATTCAAAGCACCAAGCAGGCTGGCGCAGCTCCTCCTTTCCCCCTTTTGATTAAGTTGGAGCAGGATCATGTCACCTATGAAAGAGGAACTCTTTCTGCTTCTCCCCATACTGCCTGGGGGGGAATCCTGCACACAGCCTGGAGAGAGATATAATTAACGGGCTGCTGGGGAGCCAAGCTCAGCTCCCTTTCCAACTGCACGAGTGCTCTAATTATGAAAAAAAAAAAAAGGATATAATTAATGTAGATGTCACCGATGACGGACACGGAGCAATTAGGTTTCTAGGCTCCACGAAACACCTACTGTTCTAAATAAGTGCATACTGCAGAGCCTGGGTTAGCTATTTCTTCTTCAAAAGAGGTTTAAATGGGGAGGTATTCTTGTCATATGGGTTGACTCTAGGTGGTCCCCCTACCCAGCCTCAGGGCTAGGGATTGGTCTTAGACTTCTTTTAGTTAGCTGTAGACACATACTCTAAAAGGAGATCAGGGAGTCTTGTGAGGACAAAGTCTAAGGGCAGATGGTGTCCTTGGGTTTGCCATTAATTCAGGACTGATGATAGCCTAGTTGGCACATGCTGTGATACAACAAGTATCACAGCCAACAGCTGTGTTCTACCTTCCTCGAGCTCCACAACCTACCACCTGGGACCTTCTGGCCTGAGGTAATTTTCAGTTTTCCATTTTATGGTCAAATTCTCCATAGCTTTGAATTTCAGACCAGGAATTGCCCACCGTAAAAGGAAACCCTGATTTTTAAAGTGTGTTTTTTTCTTTTTTCCCCCCCATGTATGACCCAATAATAGAATACTGGACCTTTTCTTGATCTAGTTGCATATTGCCTTCCTGATATTATATGAAGTCACACAACTTCCACAGCTCCACTGCTCATCTGGATGCCATTTAGAAAGAAAATAAACAGCAACCACCCTACTACTGGCAGGACTTGGAAGTTGAAGGGATTACACATGATCTAATAGCAATGGCTCTGTCATTTCTTGCCTCAGGACACCCACACAGGATACCAGGCCAACTGCCTTGTTGGTGCCCTCTTGGTCTCCATCCACGGCATAGAATCATAGAATCACAGAATCATAGAATCATTCAGGTTGGAAAAGCCCCCTAGGATCATCGAGTCCAACCATTAACTACTCTACAAAGCTCACCTCTAAACCATCTCCCCTAACACCACATCTAAATGACCTTTAAACACCTCCAGGGATGGGGACTCAAGCACCTTCCTGAGCAGCCTGTTCCAATGTCTGACTACACTTTCTGTGAAAAAAACTTTTCCTACTGTCCAGTCTAACCTTCCTGTGTTGCAGTTTGAAGCCATTCCCTCTTGTTCTATTGCTGATTACGTGTAAGGAGAGACCAGCACCAACCTCTCCACAACGTCCTTTCAGGCAGTTGTAGAGAGTGATGAGGTCTCCCCTCAGCCTCCTCTTCTTCAAACTCAACCGCCCCAGGTCCTTCCATCGTTCTTCATAAGATTTATTCTCCAGGCCCCTCATCAGCTCTGTCGCCCTCCTCTCCAGTCGCCCCAGCCCCTCGAGATCTCTCTTGGATTGAGGTGCCCAGAACTGGACACAACACTCAAGGTGCGGCCTCCCAGTGCCCAGTACAGGGGGACAATCCCCTCCCTGCTCCTGCTGGTCACACTCTTGCTGACACAGGCCAGGATGCCGTTGGCCTTCTTGGCCATCTGGGCACATGCTGGCTCATCTTCAGCCGGCTGTCAGTTAGAACACCCAGGTCCTTTTCTGCCGTACAGTGTTCCCGCCACCCTTCCCCAAACCTGTAGCGCTGCATGGGGTTGCCGTGACCAAAATGCAGGACTCTGCACTTGACTGGCCGCCAGCTGCATTTAACTCCACTGACCACCACTCTTTGGGCCCGTCCATCCAGCCAGTGCTCTATCCAACAGATCATATGCTCATCCAAGCCATGGGAGTCAGTGCTGACTTCAGGACTGCTGTTGACTTCAGGACTGCTGTTGACTTCAGGACTGTTTCAGTTGCCCATGCACAGATGTCTACCGTGATCTGAGATGCCCCAGGATGACTTCAGCATCCACACAGGACAGCGACAAACCAAAGAAGCTCTGGGAGATATCTGTCCTACTGGAGTAGCATCTGGAAGCCACTTGGCTCACCTGGCTCCTGTGTGGGCAACTGAATCAAACCTCTACTTTGCATGGTCAATGGAGCCTACAGTGTGTTCAGCTTGGTCTAAAATTAATGCTTAGCAGGTGGAAAGCCCTTTAATTGAGCTCCACTGCCTCTGTGAACTAAATGATAGAATCATAGAATGTTTTGGGGTTGGAAAGGACCTCTAGAGATCATCTAGTCCAACCCAGACTGCAGTGGGCACACACATCTAGAACACGTGGAGACATCTACATCTACGTGCCTTAAGTCTCGAATTCAATCCTAGCTCCTAGCAACTGATCACCTGAACTGTCCTTTGATGAGTCACCCAAATGGGTGACACGAGTTTCGATGCCGTGGGGAGCCCTAGGCTACCAGTTGTTGCTCTAGAAGGGTGCAGGTAATCTATGCTGTAGACATGAGGAAGTGTAGGAACCTCTAGGATATCTCAAATGGCACCAGCACCCGAGTCCATTGCAGATGTCTGCTGGCTACAATGGAAGCTTGGATATCAAGTTCACAGCTGGAGACCTAAATTTAGGTGTCTTAAGAAGAAAAACACATCCAAAGGGTTTTCCACTGGGTACTGGTTGCAGGCCTTCTGGCCTCTCCCCATCTTTTATCATGCAGGGAAGTAGGAGATGAGACACACACAAAGCTCTAATGCTGAACATCATGATCACTTTAAAAAACCAAATACATATAGCTAAACACATCTCTGTTACCTTGAAAATGAGCCCAGGCTGACTTTGAAATGACCTTTGGAGTGCAATTCTTTGATCAAAGAGCACATTTAGGAGCAGCACTTTTTTAAAAGGAAAAGCAAACACATCCAACAGGAAAAAAAAAAAGGAAAACCAACAAATTCAGGCAAACCAGAGCACAGCTAGCTTGTATGCTCTGCTGTGAATATTAAGGGGTGAGGGCAAACAGATTATATGCAGTTCAAAGAGGCAGTGTATCCCTGACTTTGAAATTACCATTTCTGTTTCATCTTAGA